AAGGCTACTCAGTACTTTTTCGCCAGATTACAGAGAGCGAAAAAACCCGGTCGCCATTCCAAACCCGCACATGCGCGTATTATTATATGAATATGTTGAACAGAGATTGGCCAAGTCAGCAGAAAAAGTCAAATGGGAAATTATCTGGAATGGCTGCATGGGCACAAGAAAGCAAAGTCTGACATCCTCCCTCTCCCCCTGAATCCTGTTGAACCTTATCTAGTCTAACCCAATCTGAGAACATTCCTGTATCCTAGGCTTGAATAATAAAATTGCTAATTGAACTTTTAGTTTCCATCCTTCCGAGGTCAATAAAATGAGGACCCAATTTGTTGGGGGCAATATGCTGACTCCGTAAGCTGCTTAGAGAGGGCTGTAAAGCACTATGAAGCAGTATATAAGTCTAAGTGCTATTGCTATTAATGTGTGAGTCTGTTGTTCACTCTTGACAGCATAAAACATAACTGACATAATTATATTTTTGAAAAAGAATGCTGGCTGGAACTAAACTGATCAGTAGCAATCTACATTACAATTTTAATTATACAATAGTTATCATAATGTTCCATGAAATTTTATTTCAATGTAAGCTTTTTAGAAAATAACATTTTGAGGGTAGAATCATATAGTTTCATTAAATAGAAAATACAGGTTACTTTTTAACATTTGGAAGTAATTGAAAGTATAAATATGAAGCCAGATGCTGATGCCAAATACAGACAAATATTCAAAGTGGCAACAGAAATAAAAAAGAAACTAGTAAATAAATCATAAAACAAGTTAGTCAATAAAAGAAGACAGCTATATAAGTTTACAACATTGCATATTTCAGTCAAAGCAACCTGTACTGCTCAGGATAGTTTTTATTTTATATAATTATGTATCTGAAGTGTTAATATCTGCAGACGTAAGCAATGATGGCAAGCATATTAAGGCAAACATGGACTAGAAAGCTGAACTTATGTGCCTTATACAAACTAGGCAATAGCAGGCAGAAAGCCAATTGCCTTGACAATTATATACTTCTATATACTTGCATAACATGGATTTCTGAACAACTATGAGTTGACATTTTTGCATTGATCTCATATGTTGTAAAATCTTTTGGCCCAAAAAGTTACTAAATGCAAGAGTAATCCCCCACACAAATAAAACTAAATATAGCTAAAGTGAGTGACAGGCAGAGCCTGTGCAAAACAATCATTTTATTTTTCTATGAACATTTCAAAGATAGCAAGACTCATAACTGTCAATGTTAGAGTTTTAAAGAGAAACAACACAGAATTGAGTTTTCAAGTTGAGATTAATAGATTATTGCCAATAACATAAAGCTAATAAACATTAGAACAAACTTAGGCAAGGATTTAAACTTTTGTCTTTTGTTTCAAAGATGGGCGTGCAAAACTATTTCCCAACAGTCACTTGTTTAATCACAGGAACAGATTCAAGTATACTGGTAGCAATATCTAAATCCTAACCCTGTCTGTCCATCCGTCCATTCGTTTATCCGTCCATCCGTCCACTCATCCATCCATCCATCCATCCATCCATCCATCCATCCATCCATCCATCCATCCATCCATCCATCTCTTTATCTTCAATTATAGCTAATTTAATCCAACAAAAAAGTTATTTTCTTGAGTGTCTGATCATGCAGTTCAGAATATTAATTTAGAACTCTTTCTGACAAAATTGTTATTCTTATTAATAAACTTATATCTACCCTTGTACTTAGCAGTTTATTTTTCTCATAAGAAATCAGTATTTATTTGATGGGGAAATACCACTAGCAACTATTTCTGTAGCACTTCTGCAAAGTTGACAGTCAACCTCTACTTGAATTAAAATGCTCCATAATAGACAATTCTTGTCTGAACACTAACATATACTTATGAAGCAATTTGACATCCCATAGACCCTAAATTACAAAGATATTTTTAATTTTGAAGTTGGAGTTTTGAAAAAGTTATATATCATAATTTTATTAAATGAACAAATTCATATTTCAGATCAAACACACTTTTTTTTAACTTTCTACGTTTCTTCAAGAAGGGCCATACTTGAGATCCTTAGTATTCTGATCAATGATATTGAGTCAGAAACTAAATGATTATTGGAATAACGATGTTTACTATTATTCAGAAAGCAAACTATCTTATTGAAACTATTGTTTGTTCTTTCAATCTGCCATTTTTTCAGAGATATGGATGTTTGGTGATCCTGGCCAATATATTTTTTCTATCACCTTTGAAATTGTAGTAGAACTCCCAACACATAATTCAAAATGTTCTACAAATTGCATAGCAGAAATTGAGTTGAGCCTGGAGCAGGTATTAAATATGGCTCATGTCCAAAGTCTAAAGTGCTTTTTGTTTTCTTTACCCATTTTAGAATCAAAATACAACACAAGAACAAATGGAGATAAAGAATCCATTGAGTCAAACGTAATTTCTGGGATTTTAGGAACCTGCACCAACTGCTTCCAGGATTTTTTTTAAAATCTCAGAATTCTTTAGTTTTGGCTACTGTATTGTTATTAATCTCTAAAAAACTACTATCGAAATACAAAACAAGCCCTGTTGTTAGCTGTTATAAACTGTGATTAATTATATTTAGCCCAGATAATAAAATACATTAGAAAAACACTAGTTGGTCTAGATCAGTGTTTTTCAACCTTTTTTGTGCAAAGGCACACTTTTTTCATGAAAAAAATCACGAGGCACACCACCATTAGAAAATGTTAAAAAAATTTAACTCTGTGCCTATATTGACTATATATAAAGTAATTTTCCCACGGCACACCTTACACTATGTCACGGCACACTAGTGTGCCGCGGCACAGTGGTTGAAAAACACTGGTCTAGATATCATGTGATATGTATAACAGGAAACATAGTTATGATTGAAATGCAAAGTGTACATTAGTCAATCTACATGGCTGCTCTATATCTACAAATTGCTGCACAGCCAATCATGTTCCATGTTCCTAGAAAAAATTGGGTGGGGGGAGCAGATTGATGGAGAACAATCAAATTCTTGGATTTCACAACTTTGTTTAAACTGTTCATGGTAGGCCTGATAGCAGACTTTTCTACCAATCTGGTGAAACTTGTATTACTCCTCAATCTGCTATGAAGGAACAGCCAGATGGCAATTATACTCATTGAGAAAAATGCAATTGTATACAATTATAAAAAATGTACAGTGACCACAAATCAGGCGTTTCATAATCTGAGAATCATGTTTGTGAATTGATTTTCAATTATGTGCTAGACATTCAAGACTAGAACGATCAAGCTTTGATCAACCAATATTGGGAAGGACTTTCTGGTGAAATAACAAAATTAGTAAATTAGTAAAACAGGACATATAAGAATCTAGAAGAATTGCTGCAGTATTTCATCTTAATTGACGGCTGACTGGAAGATTGAGGCATGGAGGAAATCACAACGGGAGAAAGTTTTTCAGCCTTTTGTCACATTCACTTCTTCCCTTTCCTTTGCCTCCTCATAGAACTCTTGCAAATTGTCAGGCCTCCCAGAAAAGGCAGACAGGAAACACAATAAAATGAACTAATTCTATTTTACTGCAAGGGTACATTAAGAGAACTTGCAAGCAAGTACAAACTTTCTCCTCACATACACACTTTTAATTGCTAGCTCCATTAGACAAGTTCTTCTGAAGTTTCTTTTTCAGACTATTAAGACAATGGGGGTCCTGACTTTCTTGTTTGATTGTTTCCTAAGAAGCATCTCTTACTTTCATTCCCAAGTTCATCCATGCATTCTGTTGCATAAATAGACATGGCAAAAAAATCCTTGTCTGGAGTAGAAAAATGACAAAGTTAGGAACTTTGGTTTATGTTTTTACTGTGGAATTCTTGGATACCTAGCTTTACTTATTCTTACTGAGCACGATTGGTTTTCCCCCCATCCCAGCTGTTATCAAGGAAATAGAATGTTTTCAGTCCTATCCATAAGATATTTTAATAACAGAAGTTATTAAACCACAGTGTACAGATACAGATCATAAGAATTTAGGGCATCTACAAAAAGTGACCAGTCTGACTCAACTGTCAGATCCCTAAAAGTGATACTGCCATTCAATTGGAAGGAGGGGAGCCTCGGAGTTAAATCATTAGTTACATCTGAAACAACTGAGTTTTACAACTTTACAACTGGTTTACTGTCACTGGGAGACTGAAGGTCCCAACATCTCTGGNAAGACAGTGGGTTGCATATGAGGAACTTCAGAAGGATTAGCAAACATCTTACAAATTTACCAACACTGAATTTGGATTAGTCTAGGAATTGCTGATTAGCCAGTAGATTATCACCTTAAGCATAATCATCTTTTTTCATTCAAAAGTAACATTTACTGTTTGGACTTATTTCCTATTTCAGACTTCATCCATAGATGCTAAGGATTTTAAAATAATGTAGTTTAGAAACCTATTTTAGATGTTTTTTATGAACAGCTGAGAAAATGGGGAAATGATATTTCCACCCTAGAAAAAATCTTAGTGATTCTAATTTCTGTGATTTCTGAAACTTCCAGAAGAAAGCACATAGATAGCATCAGTGATTACTATGAGTCTGCTTTTTGAACACATTTTTAAAGTGCAAATATATTATGTAATAAAAATGCAAATATATTATCTATTTGGAATAAAGAAGTAAAAGGTAAGTACCTGAGAAGTCACATTCTTGTCTAAAACTGAATATCAGAAGCACAAATCCTAAATTCATTAATGTAGAATTTTCCAAATAATATTTTCCATGGTGTCAACCAGATCTAAATAAGAAGGTACATCCTGTTTCTCAAGGCAAGTGTGAAGGAAGCCAAGTTGGAAAATGACCATATCTCCTTGGCTTGAGCTCTAGAAAGTTTCCAAATACTGTGCAAATGTACTTTGCACAGATTAAAAATAGGAAAAAAGAAAAAAAAGACTAACCCAAACCAATCAGGTTAACAAAAACAGCAACAGAATGAAAGTACTTACAGTTGTGCTTATTTTCAAATAAACATTTCTTCTTGTCATTTTTTGTAAGCCTAAAACTAGTCTAGCCCCAAATCAGGGATATCCAGTTACCATAAACTTGGTATGCAATTCCTAATTTGTTCCTTTTTTGATAACTTCATTAGAAACTGGAGCTGTTAAATCTCTTATTAAAGGATAAATTGCTTGTTGACACTGGTCTAAATTCTTCTCATTTCTCATGACTATACAATCTTGTCAATTGTGTACCAAAGGAACTGGCATACTCCTCTTTTTAGTTCTTAATGCCATCGCTCTTAGCTCCGTACTATCTTTTTGGTGTTTACCTACTTTGATTATTCTTGATTATTCGATTATTAGTCTATTGACAGTCCAAACCAGTAGACATTCATGACATACATATTTTATATTTTAGCATACTTTATCATAGTAAATTATGTTAAAAACTATTAACATTTAAGTCATTAAGGCAGATTTGTTATTTTCAACATGTTATCTTGTGTGTGTGTGTTTGTGTGTGTGTGTATAAATTTAAAATGTATTGAAAGAACAAATGCATTTTAATATACAGATTTTAAAAACTTTGTAGATATTACATGACTTACTTTTTAAGATCTCTGTATTATAATGTGCTGCAGCAAATTTTATTGGATTTGAATCCCCAGTTCTTCCATCAAAGTTGGCTTGTTCTCTGTGTGGCCAACCCCCTTTCCTCAGCTGGCATTTAAACATTTTCCAATATTCTGGATAAAGTACGGTCATGAGTTCATCCACACTTGATACTGACCGCAACTGCTCTTCCAACTCTTTATTTGCATAATTCTGGTAAGAAAATTAAGAAAAAACCAACTTAATGACTTGCTTTTTAGGATAATATTGATATAGTAATCAAATTAATGGCTAAATTTATATAAAATAATGTCATTCCTTTTAAGGTTACCTCTTCAATGAAGAAAAACATTTATGTAATTAGTAATATGAATTAACTTCCCTTTAATATATGAACATAGAACACAAATTAGTTTTAGACAAAAATAATAATAGTTTCCTGTATATCGCAGGCTGAAATGGTCTTTCATTTCAAAGTAAAATTATAGAGAGTTTTGCTCTGATTTTGAAGATTTCTTTGTGTTATGTGTATGAAATTCCAAACTATGTTATTTCAGTGGAAGGAATAACAGTCACTGCAATAAAATGCATGTAGCTTTTATGCTATTTAGGTTTTTTTAAAATTTGTTAAGTGAATTTTTCCCATTGACTTTGTTTGTCAGAAGATTGCAAATGATGGTCACATGACCCCAAGACATTGCAAGTGTCCTAAATATAGTCAGTTGCCAAGAATCTGAATTTTGATCATGTGACCATGGAGATGCTGCAATGGTCACACGTGTGAAATATGGTCATCGTCACTTTTTTCAGTGCCATTGTAACTTCAAACAGTCACTACACTAAATGTTGTAAGTCACACACATACACACGCACATATATGTTATGCATAATATAAAATATGTTACTTATACATGTTCATGAGTCCTGTTTGTTTTTATCAATATAGAAAGAAGTTTGTGCAGGTGCAAAATAAATTTCAAAATGAAGACTATCTTTACATATAAGCTGCAGGTTGAGATCATTAATATTTTTATATCACACTACATAGAAGCAGAAAAACAAAAGGGAAATTAATTATTTCAATGCCTCTTCTAGAATAAGTAAACTGCCAATTCTGAAATAACAGAGTGCTGAAATAACAGCTTCCTGCTGAGACTGGATGGTACATATATGCATACAGATTTAACAGTTCTCAAGAATATCAAAACCTTATTTGCTCTAGCAAGATTGGTAAGGAAGAAACAAGGGATCAGTTGGTAAGAAAAGGAAAAGAGTCACTCACTACACTTTGCCTTTCAATAAGCTAAAGATATATTATTAAATTATTGTACATATAATTATTCATTGCTGTAATAAAATGTAATAATTATGTATTTTTTATTTTTTTTATATTTTTATTTATTGAACATTTATAGGCCGCCCTTTTCCCTGGGGGGACTCAGGGCGGCTTACAATGATGGGGGAAGGGAGTGCAAGACAAGACATAAAAGAAAAACGTGAGTAAAAAAAATTAACCATAAAACACAACATTCACTCAACATTCGGGCGGGGTGAGAGTAAAATCCNCTGCAGGTTATTCGCGTGGGCGGGTTATTTGCGTGGGCGGGTTATATGGGTGAAAATACGGTAGTTAGATGAGAAGAACAGTAACAAAAGCCAGAAACTAACAACTGAAATAGCTTACAATTGAAACAGCTAAATAACAAACATGATAGAAGTGTAGGACTCTCTATAATGGTTCAGATTAAAGAGAAAATTAATGAGGATTCTATTTTTATTTTAGGGAAATGGGATTATAGAACTGGAAATTATATTGATGTCATTTTCTGACCAAAAGTTTTGCCAACTGCCAATTGTTGGGCTAAAGTTCAGGGATATAAAGCTAATAAAAATGAGCGATACCAAGCAGCTATAAGAATAATAGGTAATTTTATGTTCGAGACTTCCAAACAAAATAGGTAGGGTAGAAGTCAAGTATTTCACGTATTTAAAAATGAAAATAATATTCACACACTATACCTACACTTTCCCTTTGAAACATAAATGGAAACAAGTTAAATTTAGGAATAAGAATTTATTCTTCCTTAAGCAGACCAATTCTGAATGTTTAATACCTATACACTAAATATAATCTACATAATTTTAAGTAAATTGAATAAATGAACCTGGATGACTTGAGAATCTCTACAGCAGGGGTGTCAAACTAGATTTCATTGAGGGCTGCATAAGGATTGTGTTTGATTTCAGGGGAGCGTGGCCAGCTTGATGTCACTCATATCGGGGCCACCTGTAGTGGCCCAAATGCTCTGCCAGCGAAAACGGGCTACCGAGCTCGGCTTTCAGCTGGGACGGTCTCCTGAAACCCTCTGCCAATGAAAATAGAGCACGAGAGGGCCACACATGGCCCTCCCGAGCTCTGTTTTCACTGGCAGGCACTTGAGGCCGATCTTTCGCTGTATCCGGGGTGGCCTCGCAGGCCAAATCTAAGCACCCTGCAGGTCAGATCCAGCTCCTGGGCCTTAAGTTTGACACCCCTGCTCTACAGACTTTTAGCTATACAATTTGGGATGAACATCTTTGGAATGGTGTGGGAGTAGGAATGGATTTCCAGAGAAAACATTGCAGATTACAGGAACCATGAGCACTACTCGGGTGACCCTGAAGACATAGATAAACCTCCAAGCAAGCTTGTGTGATAGCCTCCTGCAACCTTCTGCCAATGAAAATGGAGCTTGAGAGAGCCGTATGGCAGAGGCACCATCAGCCAGTCCTTTGCTATTTCAGGGTGGCCCGACAGGCCTTGAGTTTGACACCCCTGCTCTAAAAGGATGCAAATGACCAATTGCCTCCTGAAAAAAACACCTTTGGGACAACCATGACCTGGATGACTGAGAATCTTTACAGACCTTTAAATTGAATGAAGTAGCAATGCATAGAGCTTGTTGGTGCAATGGTTAAAGTGCTGGTCCGGAAACCATGTGACTATGATAGTTCTAGAATCTAGACCTTCCTTAGGCATGAAAACTAGCTAAGTCAGTGATGGTGAACCTTTTTGGCATGAAACGGGAGCGCGTGTGCACATGCACACCAGAAACCAGAAGAGCAGCCACCCAGTGTACATGTGTGCACCAGGTGGCTGCTCTTCTGGTTTCCGCCACTTGGTCTTCTGGTTTCTGATGCACATTGGTACACACTGGCCAGCTGGTTTTTGCGTGCACATGCATGCCAGAAACCAGAAGACCAGGTGGCCGGTGCGCATGCACGTGCTGCAAACCAGAAGAGCAGCCATCCAGTGCATGCATACACACCCGCAGCTGCTCTTCCAGTTTCCAGCATTCCCACATGTGTGAAGACCAGCTGGCCAGTATGCAGAAACTCGGAAGAGTAACGGGTGATGATTCATGAGCCCAGAGAGATACCACTTCCGGCACGCATGCCATAGGTTTGCCATCATAGAAGTAGATGATTTAGCCAGTCATTCTCTTTTAGCCCACAGAGTTGTTGTAAAAGAACAGGAGACAGGAGTATTGGATATGTTCACAAAATTTATATATAAAAGAGATAAGATAAAAATGTAATAAATGATCATGATGATGATGTATATTAATGACAGTTGGTCTTACCTGAACTGTTATTTTAAGAGGTGTTTGCAGGATGGGCCAGTGATGGTATTATCACAGCCAATTGGCCTCGAGACTGGNTTCCATCCTGCTTGATTAAAGGTTCCTTTTGAAATAATCCATTTCAAGAGTCTTTACTTTCTCAAGTTAGGAGAAGAACCTCCCATTTATTCTTTTTTCATTCTCTTATATTTTTAGCCCATAGAACAAACACCACATGACTTTCATACAAAGCTGAATATATTTCCCAGTCTTCCCCACACATTACAATCTTGAAGTTAAACAAATTTATCCCTAAAGTTATATTACTTACTACAGAGAAGTAAGTTTAGAGAAGTTCTGCATCTTTGTCATGGCAATAAATGATTGACCCCAATTAAGGTGCTTCCTTCCTCTTGTGGAGCTCTCAAAAGCATGACTATATATTGACCCACATAAATGCAACATAAAATTGTTTATAAACTGTTGCTTCCTTTCTCCTATCCTATATACTTCTAAAATCACTCTTATCTTTTTTGGAAATGTCGTCCATTATAAAATAATGTTGCCGCCAGTAGACTTAATACTAATTCTTTCCATTAGAAGATTCTACTCATTTTATTTTTAAAACATACATTAAATATACATAGTATACTTTATGATCCCAGTGTTCAAAAAGAATAGTTAAATTTTTGCCTATCACAGTGCTAATGTCCTCTGTTGTTCTCCAAAGAACTCAGGTTTTTCATCTGCTAACAGCTATTGTCCACTTGATCCTACTTTACTATTTTCCTAATTAGAGGTCATTCTTCTGTGCATTTTAAACAATTTTTTTCATATTATTCATACGAACTGAATTACTATATGCCATCCTACAAGCAATCTTCTAATACCTTCTAATACCTATTCTAAAGCAATCTCTAAACACAATACTTCCTTGTTGAACAATTTAATAGTTTGAGATAGAAGTTATGTGATAGCCAAAATGTTTAAAATCAGATTGATCCATTTTTGAAAGGTGATTATTCCACATGCTAAGGTCATCATGTCTTTCAAATTTACTGATTGATTTATTTTTAATCACTTTATATGATGACTCTTTCAGCATATAACTAAGAGCAGGATACACGTGTTCTGAAAAATTTAACATTTATTAACAAAATTTCATCAACTGAAATAACTGGATAGGTGCAAGCATGGTCACTTAAATACTATTTATGTTTCAGATGCAAATATATTATGGAAGTGACAAATGTGAACAATCTCACTGGAATTTAATGCTTATGAATTGAGAATTGGTAAAAAAATAAAAGAGGAAGCACAAAAACACAGAAACATCTCTACTGGATGTACTAATATCTCAATTTATATATCAAAACTTACCTATTTCCCTAGTTTACTGTTTTGCCCCATAAAAGTGCAGGGAGCAAGACAGAGGCAATTGAGATATATTGAACTAAGTGAATAATAAGGCAAGAGGCCAGAGAATGACAGTTGGTCTTACCTGAACTGTTATTTTAAGAGGTGTTTGTGGGATGGTTCAGTGATGGTTCTCACTGCCAATTGGGTTGAAGCTGATGCCACACATCTGGGCTCCTCTCTTCTGACTCCAGT